TCACCTCTCCCCCAGACCACCTCTCCCGCAGACCACCTCTACCCCAGACCACCTCTCCCCCAGACCACCTCTCCCCCAGACCACCTCTCCCCCAGACCACCTCTCCCCCAGACCACCTCTCCCCCAAATCACCTCTCCCCCAGACCACCTCTCCCGCAGACCACCTCTCCCCCAGACCACCTCTCCCCCAGACCACCTCTCCCCCAGACCACCTCTCCCCCAGACCACCTCTCCCCCAGACCACCTCTTCCCCAGACCACCTCTCCCCCAGACCACCTCTCCCCCAGACCACCTCTCCCCCAGACCAGCTCTCCCCCAGACCAGCTCTCCCCAGACCACCTCTCCCCCAGACCACCTCTCCCCCAGACCACCTCTCCCCCCAGACCACCTCTCCCCAGACCACCTCTCCCCCAGACCACCTCTCCCCCAGACCACCTCTCCCCTAGACCACCTCTCGCCCAGACCACCTCTCCCCCAGACCACCTCTCCCCCAGACCACCTCTCTCCCAGGCCACCTCTCCCCCAGGCCACCTCTCCCCCAGGCCACCTCTCCCCCAGGCCACCTCTCCCCCAGGCCACCTCTCCCCCAGGCCAACTCTCCCCCAGACCACCTCTCCCCCAGACCACCTCTCTCCCAGACCACCTCTCCCCCAGACCACCTCTCCCCCAGACCCCCTCTCCCCCAGACCACCTGTCCCCCAGACCACCTGTCCCCCAGACCACCTCTCCCCCAGACCACCTCTCCCCCAGACCACCTCTCCCCCAGACCACCTCTCCCCCAGACCAACTCTCCCCCCCACCTCTCCCCCCCACTGCCCATAGACTCACACTGCCCATAGACTAACATTGCCCATAGACTAACACTGCCCATAGACTAACACTACCCATAGACTAACACTACCCATAGACTCAACACTACCCACAGACTAACACTGCCCACAGACTAACACTGCCCACAGACTAACACTACACATAGACTAACACTGCCCATAGACTAACACTACACATAGACTAATACTGCCCATAGACTAACACTACCCATAGACTAACACTACCCATAGGCTACCACTGCCCATAGGCTACCACTGCCCATAGACTCACACTGCCCATAGACTAACAGGAAAAAAACATCAAAATATACCCCGCGACTGTGTCACGCTGGGGGGTGAGGGTGGCTTCGGGAATCGATGGGCGGGGCTCGCGACGCGTGGGGCGGGGCCACGTGGAATGAAGGCGGAGCTACGGGGACGTGGGCGGAACCTAATATGAGGGCGGGGCTAGGAGGGCTGTGGGCAGGGTTACGCGCAGGGGCGGGGCTCCTGATGGGGGCGGGGCTCCTGATGGGGGCGGGGCTCCTGATGGGGGCGGGGCTCCTGATGGGGGCGGGGCTCCTGGTGGGGGCGGGGGCTCCTCATGGGGGCGGGGCTCCTCATGGGGGCGGGGCTTGGCCTCAGCGGCGGCGCGTGCTTCCGGAAGCCGCGCGAAGCCCGAGGTGAGGAGAGCACGAACACGCGGCGCCATCACCACCACTACGACCATCACCACTAACTACCATCATCACTAATTACTATCACCACTAACTACCATCATCACTAACTACTATCACCACTAACTACCATCATCACTAACTACTATCACCACTAACTACTATCACACCACTATAACTACCATCATCACTAACTACTATCACCACTAACTACCATCATCACCAACTATCACCACTAACTACTATCACACCACTATAACTACCATCATCACTAACTACTATCACACCACTATAACTACCATCATCACTAACTACTATCACCACCACCATAACTACCATCATCACTAACTACTTTCACCACCACCATAACTACCATCATCATTAACTACTATCACCACCACTATAACTACCATCATCATTAACTACTATCACCACCACTATAACTACCATCATCACTAACTACTATCACCACCACTATAACTACCATCATCACTAACTACTATCACCACCACTATAACTACCATCATCACTAACTACTATCACCACCACTATAACTACCATCATCACTAACTACTATCACCACCACTATAACTACCATCATCACTAACTACTATCACCACCACTATAACTACCATCATCACTATAACTACCATCATCACCACTATAACTACCATCATCACTATAACTACCATCATCACTAACTACTATCACCACCACTATAACTACCATCATCACTATAACTACCATCACCACCACTATAACTACCATCATCACTAACTACTATCATCACTACCATCATCACTATAACCACAATCATCACTACAACCACAATCATCACTACAACCACAATCATCACCATCATCACTAACTACCATCATCACTATAACCACCATCATCACTATAACCACCATCACTATAACCACAATCATCACCATAACTACCATCATCACAACCACAATCATCATCATCACTGCCATCATCACTATAACCACCATCACTATAACCACCATCATCATCACTAACTACCATCATCACTATAACCACCATCACTATAACCACCATCACTATAACCACCATCATCACTATAACCACAATCATCACTATAACCACAATCACACACACCACCATCATCATCACTATAACCACTATCACGACCACACCGTTACCATCACTACCACAAAAACAAAGATCTAACAGACTGTAGGGGCAAGTGCTGTTAGCGAGCAGCACCTATGAAGGCCGGAACGGTACACGAGGGGGTGGGTGGCCAGCACCACGCCCGACCGCCTTTGTCTCCCCAGTGGCGATGTTTACTACACATACCGCTCCTCTGCCCTCTGCTGTTGTTGGAGGGCGACTGCCTCCCAACTGCCCAGCAGCGTCCTTCACGAGCCTCCTCCAGAGGCCGATCTTGACACCGCTGATACCAGTCATATCAAGTCCACTCAGCTCCACATCCTCTCGTACCACATTCCATCGCTTCTCAAGCCCGTGCCGCGCCCGCTGAGCCCCCTGTACCCGGCCAAACAAGCCGCTTGGGCATGCGGTGGCTGGGCACGTGGGCTACGCGACCCAGCCAACGCAGCCGTGCCTGCCGGAGGAGCTCCCTCATGGGACCGTGTCCAGATCTTTCGATCTGAGCTCACGCAATCCAGCCTGGTTAAATCTAGGCTGGATCGCAGGCGTGCCAGCCTGAATGTTTAAACCTGGCGCAGATGTCCCTAAAGAGAGGGCTCTGCGTTTCACAAGCACAGGAAGGAGGGCACAACTGGCTGAAAAGTTCCAGAGTTTCAGCCTTCTATTGTATCGGTACCAGATTGAAATTCCACTGGTACATCCATGGGACGCTTCTCGAACTACGTGGTCAAATGTTAAATGTAGGGACCAGAGGACATCCCTGTCGCACCCCTAAGTGAATTAGGAATAGCTTTGACTTCCAGCCATGTAGCTTTACCCGGGCCTGCCCACCACCATGAAGGTCCTTAATGATTGTGAGCAGACCGTCTGGGACCCATAGCCCTGACCAGGTCAAGAAAGCAGATATGGTCCTTTTACATTGAGACCTCCTTTGCCAGTAACAAGATATAGTAATAGGTTTTACCCTTTTAACTGGCACAAAAAAACCGACACCTTTATTCAAGGCATCATGTTTGCAATAACCACAACACAGTCAAAATGCAAACAAAAGAGACAACTCTAATAATAATATGCACTGTCCTTGAATTTGATTGGTCCACACCCGAGACGGCTTTTCTTAGAGCCTAGTCTCCACTGGTGTTGGACCAGATGACGCCAAAAGGCGTACAACTCAAAAACAGCGCACTATGAGAGTATTGAGGGCTCGGGGTGAGCATTTACATTGAGACCTCCTTTGCCAGTAACAAGATATAGGAATAGGTTTTACCCTTTTAACTGGCACAAAAAACCTGACACCTTTATTCAAGGCATCATATGTTATCAGAGTTGTCTCTTTTGTTTGCATTTTGACTGCTTGTGTTGTGGTTATTGCAAACATGATGCCTTGAATAAAGGTGTCAGTTTTTTTTTGTGCCAGTTAAAAGGGTAAAACCTATTACTACAGATATGGTCCTGTTGAAATTCCCCACACCTCTGCTGTAGCAGACAAGCGTCTAGCGTCTGTGCAGGACCGCCCTTGCCTAAACCCACGACAAAAAGTTTCCCCTTTAAAAAAAACCGGGGACCAGCCATGCCATCCCATCCTGTGGAACCCATCCTGTCGTTTATCACCATCAACACCACCCACACCACCACGGGGTCGATAAACTCATGCCACTTTGTGACCATGGTCAAGGATGACCACTGGCACAGGAAGGGATCTCAGTGGTAAGTTGTTGGGTGGTGCACGTCGCACCGAGTGATGGACGGCATTGTGGGCGCCGGGAGCTCGGCCGGAAACGAAACTCGGCGTGGAAGAAGAGGCGAGGAGGAGAAGTCATCGTTTCAGTCCCCGTTTTGTTTTAATTATCAACCGCGGCACCTTGAACCAGAGGGCTTGGACGTGGTGGACGAGGTGGGGGTGCTGGGGAGGGGCGGGTGGTGAGTTACTGCTCCTGTGGACCCGCGGAAACGTGGACACTCGGACACGCAGACCCACGGACACGCAGACACACGGACACGCAGACCCACGGACATGCGGACACGCAGACCCACGGACACGCAGACCCACGGACACGCAGACCCACGGACACGCAGACCCACGGACACGCGGACACACGGACACGCAGACCCACGGACACGCAGACACACGGACACGCAGACACACGGACACGCAGACACACGGACACGCAGACATACGGACACGCAGACACAAGGACACGCAGACACAAGGACACACAGACACAAGGACACATACTTCCCGTCGTTACTGGGATTGAGACGGCTCCGCTGAAGAAGCAGATCGGAGTCCAGACCACCCTCCATCCCTCCTGCAGACCCCCCCCCCCCTCCCCAGACCCTGGCGAGACGCTACGTTACATAAAATCCCCCCCCCCCCAGCCCACGTGGCCCCCACACGTCTTCCCATGTGACCTCCAGCCATTTACCGACTAAACTTGTTACAACAGCCTGCAAAACTCCTGGAGAAGGCTCCAATGCCTTACCGTGTAGCTTAAAGACTGCGCCGACTGGAATCGGCTCTCTGCTTCGTGTAGAACAAAGACGCAGAGACACAATAGAGCCCGACCACAACACACTTCCCTCTACACAACAATGCCCTGCCACAACACACTTACTCCACCCTATACACAACAACCTCATCCCCTCTACACAACAATCCCTGGCCATACCTTTACAAAACTAACCCCCCTTTTCTCCACACACAAATCTGGCCAGAGCCCCCCCCCCCCTCCCTCGCTGCTCAAACCCTGACCTGGCGACAATCACCCTCTAGAGGGTGGGGTGTGTGCCACCGCGGGGTCACCGCGGGGTCACCGCGGGGTCACGTGAGCGGACGCTCAGGAGCGCTCCTTGCGCTTGGTGCCACCGCGCTTGGTTGCGGCACCGCCGGCGGCACCGCCGGCGGCGTTGTTGGCGGCGTTGTTGGCGGCGTTGTTGGCGGCGGCGGTGGTGGCGGCGCCGGTGGTGGCGATGGGGGGGGGCGAGCCGCCCCCCTTGTTGAGAAGTTTGAGCACGCGCTCCTTGTGGTCCAGCAGGTGCAGCATGGCGTCCTTGGCCTCCGTCATCTGGTCCATGAGCAGTTTGCAGCGCTGCACGTTGTCCTGGCAACCGCACGCACACGAGCACATCACACGGCAGCCGCCGCTCGGCGGAGATGTCGCAGCTGCACCTGAGCCAAGCTAGGTGCACTGTAAGGCTGTCAAGTGAAGTGTGGAAGGCTCGCTGTTGTGCAGGTCACGGGTCAACTTCAACATATATACTCATTCACTCATTTCTTTAAAACTGCTTTTGGTGTTTAGTTTGTTGTCCTTAGCCCGCACCTCCGATTTAGCACGGTTAGCTACAATACGGTGCGAAAGAAGTTCAACATACACATACGTACAGACCCAGGTGTTATGGGTTGACCGACTGAGGTGGCTTGCAATATTGAGGCTGGCCTGCCTACAATTCCTCCTGAATCCAACCAGAATGGATTCAAGCGTGAGGAGCCCACAGACCCTTGAGAGATCTGGACCAGAGCTCCCATCGGTGAGGCTGCGTTGGCCGGGCCACGCGTTGCCACATCCATCGTGAGAAATGCAAGTGAGCGGGGCGAGTCGAGCCGTGGCAGCGGCAGCAGGCGTCCAGGGACTACGCACCATGCTGATGAGCACAATATTAGCTCGTCACTGTAGCACTGCGAATAATAGTAATGGTAAATTGTAGCCAACCTCGATCCACCGAGGACTGAAGGGCTGGAGGTGGCAGGGGGTCTCTCTGCGGGAGGGATCGAGCGTGAATTCGACTCGGATCGGTTCTTCAGCAGAGCTCTTGCAATCCCAGTAACGACAGGGAGTGCGTGTCCGCCTGTGTCCGCCTGTGTCCGCCTGTGTCCGCCTGTGCCCGCCTGTGTCCGCGCGTGTCCGCGCGTGTCCGCGCGTGTCCGCCTGTGTCCGCGCGTGTCCGCCTGTGTCCGCGCGTGTGCGCGCGTGTCCGCGCGTGTCCGCCTGTGTTCGCGCGTGTCCGCCTGTGTTCGCGCGTGTCCGCGAGTCCATGCGTGGGCGTATCCGTACCGCCACGCGTTCCCACGCGGGCAGCCACTCACCTCCACCCCCCCCCCTTTCTGTCACCCCCACCCCGTCCCCCCAGCAGGTCCAGGCCCCCGGTTCGTGGCTGCCATGGCCGTGCGTTAAACCGAGACCGGGGACTGTAACAACGGCGACCATCTCCTTGCGGAGGCCCCTGGTGCCGAGCTCAGTGAGCATTGCACTACCCCGTGCGAGCACCCCCCTGCTGCCCCACCTGGACGAGCTCGCTGATCTTGTGGAGGTCGTCGTCGCTGCCGCTGCCACCCTTCTTCTTCTTCTGCGGAGACGTTGCCTCCTGGAGCACCAGCATCCGCTCGTACGCCTCGTGCTCCAGCTTCACCTGCAACACCGCGCACGCACGCACGCAGGAGCTTTTTATTAATCCTGGAGAATCCAATGAGCTATGAAGCTCTTTATCACAGAAGCCCAGCAGTTTCACAGGTGTCCAGTGGCACCGCAGAGCGAACGCCACACGGCACACATACACACACAGTATAGACACATTATAATCGACACTTGTGTCGGTGGCCCTGAGCAGGAATTGAACTTGGGTCACCGGGTTTGTGGCAAAGCGGCACTAACCGTTGCAATACTGCTTCCTACACCACACGGCACAGTATACTATAAACATTAAGGCCCTCAGAGCTCTATAGCTCTTTTTCAGAAGCGACCTGGCCACAAATGATAGCTCAATAAAGTGGCTTACCATTTGTACATTTATAGCAGCCAAATACTCTAAATGCATGATGTTAATTCTAAATGTGGAGGGAAAAACGGGAGGACCCGGAGAAAAATCCACATGACCAAGGAGAGGCACGCAAACTCCAAATATACAGCAGGCGTCGGGATCGAAACCACGACCTGCATACCAGGCGAGGGAGTTAACATCTCCTCGCCACCGTGCGCACTCCACACACAAGACACGCGTGTTGTTATTGCGTGTTGTTATTGCGTGTTGTTATTGCGTGTTGTTATTGCGTGTTGTTGCTGCGTGTTGTTATTGCGTGTTGTTGCTGCGTGTTGTTATTGCGTGTTGTTGCTGCGTGTTGTTATTGCGTGTTGTTATTGCGTGTTGTTATTGCGTGTTGTTATTGCGTGTTGTTATTGCGTGTTGTTATTGCGTGTTGTTATTGCGTGTTGTTATTGCGTGTTGTTATTGCGTGTTGTTATTGCGTGTTGTTATTGCGTGTTGTTATTGCGTGTTGTTATTGCGTGTTGTTATTGCTGCGTATTCTTATTGCGTGTTGTTATTGCGTGTTGTTATTGCGTGTTGTTATTGCGTGTTGTTATTGCGTGTTGTTATTGCGTGTTGTTATTGCGTGTTGTTATTGCGTGTTGTTATTGCGTGTTGTTATTGCGTGTTGTTATTGCGTGTTGTTATTGCGTGTTGTTATTGCGTGTTGTTATTGCGTGTTGTTGCTGCGTGTCGCGTGCAGGGTATGACCGCCCCTCAACCCAGGCCGCACGAGCGGAAGGTGGCGCCGTCCGCCGGCGACGACGACGACGAGGAGGAGGACCCGGTGGACGCGATGATCGCGCGCACCGGCTGCGCCGCGTCGCACTACGCGGTGCAGGAGTGCATGGCGGCCACGCGCGACTGGCGCCAGTGCCAGCCGCAGGTCGCCGCGCTGCGCGACTGCATGCTGGCGCACCAGCGCCGCGCCGCGCCGGAGACCCCCCCGCGGCCGTGAGCGGCGTGGCGGACCCCGGGGAGTCGGCACGGGGGGGCGGGGGGGGGGGGGTTCTCACCAGCTGGAGGATCTGCGTGGCGCAGAGGTGAACCTTCCAGCCCTGAGCCTTGTTGGTGACGCCCGCCTGGCTCGACAGCTCCTGCAGGCTCGGCTTCTTCTCCTCTGTGGCGGGCGGGGGACACGCGCGGGGACGCACGGGCGGAGGAGACGCGTGTGAACACGCGTACAGCAATCCTGTGGCGCGGGCGATCGTGGTTGTGCCGGACGCCTGTGCCCAAGGGGTGAGTGCGTGGCGCCATAGAGAATAAACCCTGCAACGTGTGCATGCTTATTCGTAGGTGTGCCTGTGCGGAGTCATCTTTGTGTGCTTGTACGTGCGTGTGTGTGTGGGGAGCGGTATTGTCGCTTCGCTATGAACCCGGCGACCCGAGTTCGATTCACGCTCAACACCGGTGACGATTATCTGAACCGGTCCTGGGACTCCCCTAGGTCGACTGAGGCTCAAATGAGTTCCTTGGTGCGGTGTGGAAACATCGCTAATGGGGAGACAAAGGCGGGCGTGGTGATGCTGGCCACCCCTCACGTGCCAGGCCGACCGTCATAGGTGCTGCTACTTGCTGACAGCAATTGCCCCAACAGTCTGTGGCAGGCGAAGCGAGGGGAGGGGGGTCTTTACTCTTTGGTTCTATTGGGTAAAGTCACGTAGGTGAAAATAAAATAACAAAAAATCACGACGTTTCGGCCACAACACAAGCGGCCTTCATCAGGTGAAGGGACGAGACTGTCTGGAGGACAGCGCTGGAGTGAGAAAAGCCACGCTTAGATCACGACCTTTAAGCTGTGTGAGAAGAAAACAAAGCGCCTTGACAAAGGAATTAGCATATAATTTAGCATTGAAATGGCTCATTGAAATAGCTAAGTTAAAGTATACACATCCGCAGAGGCACCCCTTGACAAAGGAATTAGCATAGAATTTAGCATTGAAATAGCTGAGTGATTAGCTTGTAACTGGTCACAGAAATAGCTATGTTAAAGTCAGAGCATATACATTCACCGAGGCACCTAGTACAAATCAAACAGGAGAATTTAGCGAAACATAACCACGCTCAGACCGCGGAACTTTAAACTGTGTGCGAGCAAACAAGGTGTTCTGACTAATAAATTAGCATAAAAATTAGCATTTGATTGGCCGATTTTAGAAAAGAGGTGGTGTACGTGCCGGTGGACTTGCCATTTGGCGTGGGGGGAGGGGGAGTTTACCTATTGATGGTGTGAAAAGGGAATTTATAAGAGCTGCGAAAGTTTGGGGTACCACTACTTGAAAAATATACTGTACCATTGAAATTAGTTTAATGTTTAGTTCGATTTAGAACATCTTTCCAATGTTTGCTTAATTTGAAACCATCTTCTCGGTTGAAATTGTGTCTGTGTTTGTAGATCTGAATTGCTTTATGAACAAATCTCTGATAAAAACCCGTGGGTTTGCAAAGAACCTTGGTATCGGAGAAAATTATATCGTGATCCCCCACAGCGTTGTAACAGTGATCAGCCACGGCAGAAGAATTCGTTTTGCCATGTTTCAAATCTGATTTGTGCTCGCGAATTCGGTCAGAGACATGTCGCTTTGTCTCCCCGATATAGCAATCACCGCAGGTACAACTCAATTTGTAAACCCCGGGGTACTGTAAGTCAGGAATGACATCCTTCACGGATGGGATCAGATCACGAATTTTGTGTACTGTATTGAACCGGACCTGGATCTTGTGTTTGTTAAGAATTTTGGAAATCTCTTTAGTAATGCCTGCTATATATGGAAGTGTGATGGTTTTGACCGGAGTATCAAGTGGTTGTTTCTGTATGGAGGGAGAAACAGCTTGGCGGATGGTACGGTCAGAGTAACCATTCCTTTTGAGGGCCAGGTGTACATGTTTTAATTCACTGGTTAGGTGGTGTTGGTCCGAAATGCAATGAGCCCTATGGTATAAAGTTTTGATGAGAGAATTCTTTTGGGCTGGGTGGTGGTGGGAATCAGGTTTCAAGTAGGAATCTGTGTGGGTGGGTTTCCTGTAGACAGAATGCCCCAATAAGCCATCAGGTCTCCTCTCAAACAGAACATCTAAGAATGGTAGCTTTCCATCTTTCTCCACTTCCATGGTGAATTTGATAGCGGGATGTCTGGAATTGATGTGGTGTAGGAAAAGATTCAGAGCTGGGAGGCCATGTGGCCAAATGACGAAAGTGTCATCCACATATCTCTTCCACAGGGAAGGTCTGAGGGTGGAAGTCTGGATGGTGTCTGATTCAAATTTCTCCATGAAAATATTGGCTATCACTGGTGATAAGGGGGATCCCATGGGGGTACCCTCATTTTGTTTGTAGAAGGAGCCATTCCAAGTAAAGTAGGTATTGTTGAGGCAGTGCCTAACCAGTGCAGGTGTGTCGGGGTCTAGTCCATGTTGGACCAAATTTTCAATTATTTCAATGGTATCAGGTACTGGGACCTTGGTGAACAAAGACACCACATCGAAGCTGACAAGGATATCGTCAGGGGACAGTACAACGTCTTTGACCATAGAGACCAATTGGGCTGAGTTAAGTACTGCTGAGGCGGTCTTGCCAGTGAAAGGCAGCAAGGTATCTGACAGAAAACGGCTAGTCTATAGGTAGGGGAGTTGATCGTGGATACGATGGGTCGAAGTGGGGTGCCTTCTTTATGAATCTTGGGAAGACCATAGAATCTAGGGGGTCTTGCAGCAGAAGGTTTTAGGGAGGGACGTTTAGTTGGGTCGATTAGGGAGGTCGAACTTGTGATGATCTTGTTGGTTTTTATCGCCAGGCTATTAGTAGGGTCATTTTTTATTTTTGAGTAACTTCCATCGTTGAGCAGATTCTGGATTTTGTTGTTGTATGAATCTTGTTTGCTCACACACAGTTTAAAGTTCCGCGGTCTGAGCGTGGTTGTTTCGCTAAATTCTCCTGTTTGATTTGTACTAGGTGCCTCGGTGAATGTATATGCTCTGACTTTAACATAGCTATTTCTGTGACCAGTTACAAGCTAATCACTCAGCTATTTCAATGCTAAATTCTATGCTAATTCCTTTGTCAAGGGGTGCCTCTGCGGATGTGTATACTTTAACTTAGCTATTTCAATGAGACATTTCAATGCTAAATTAAATGCTAATTCCTTTGTCAAGGCACTTTGTTTTCTTCTCACACAACTTAAAGGTCGTGATCTAAGCGTGGCTTTTCTCACTCCAGCGCTGTCCTCCAGACAGTCTCGTCCCTTCACCTGATGAAGGCCGCTTGTGTTGTGGCCGAAACGTCATGATTTTTTGTTATTTTATTTTCACCTACGTGACTTTACCCAATAGAACCAAAGAGTATGGATCCTAGCAGTCACGAAAGCTTTAAATCTAGAAAGGGGGGTCTTTGTTTATTGTGGAGCAAGCGGTGGCTCCGTGTGGAGACCGTGGAGCCGGCCGGCTCCACCGCTGCCGTGAATCGTCGCCAGCGCTCCGCCCGGGAACCCCCTGCGCTGTCGTGCACCTGCGGCGATCTGGGGAGACGCCTAACAAGAGGGGCCCTTGCCAATAAACATCTGGCAGTCCGGGGCGAGGGTATATGGCTGAGTGGTGAGGCAAGGGTGTGGAGTGCAGGGTGAGGGTATGACGAGTGTGGTGGTGCTTGTGGCGAGTGCATGGTGAAAGTGCAGAGCAGTGGTGAGTGCAGGTTGTGGTGAGTGCACGGTGTGGTGAGTGCAGGTTGTGGTGAGTGCAGGTTGTGGTGAGTGCAGGTTGTGGTGAGTGCAGGTTGTGGTGAGTGCAGGTTGTGGTGAATGCACGGTGTGGTGAGTGCAGGTTGTGGTGAGTGCAGGTTGTGGTGAGTGCAGGTTGTGGTGAATGCACGGTGTGGTGAGTGCACGGTGTGGTGAGTGCAGGTTGTGGTGAGTGCACGGTGTGGTGACTGCACGGTGTGGTGAATGCACGGTGTGGTGAGTGCACGGTGTGGTGAGTGCAGGTTGTGGTGAGTGCACGGTGTGGTGATAGTGGTGTGGGTGCGCCGCACCCACCCTTGACGCGCACGTCGGCGTGCCGCTGGAAGTGGTGGTACGCGGCCTTCCAGGGGTTGCGGTACTGCCCCAGCAGCGTGACGGGGGGACGCGGCCTCACAGGGACATAGCGCACCCCCTCCTCATCTACACAGACACACAGCACACCCCCTCCTCATCTACACAGACACACAGCACCCCCTCCTCATCTACACAGACACACAGCACACCGTCATGTACACAGACACACAGCACACACCCTCCTCATGTACACAGCACACCCCCTCCTCATTTACACAGACACACAGCACACACTCCTCATCTACAGAGACACACACTCCTCATCTACACACACAGCACACACCCTCCTCATGTACACAGACTCACAGCACACCTCCTCATCTACACAGACACACAGCACACCCTCCTCATGTACACAGACACACAGCACCCCCTCCTCATCTACACAGACACACAGCACCCCCTCCTCATGTACACAGACACAGCACACACCCTCCTCGTGTACACAGACACACAGCACACACCCTCATGTACACAGACACACAGCACCCACCCTCCTCATGTACACAGACACAGCACACACCCTCCTCATGTATACAGACACACAGCACACACCCTCCTCATGTACACAGACACAGCACACACCCTCCTCATGTACACAGACATACAGCACACACCCTCATGTACACAGACACACAGCACACACCCTCCTCGTGTACACAGACACACACCCTCCTCATGTACACAGACACACAGCACACACCCTCATGTACACAGACACACAGCACCCACCCTCCTCATGTACACAGACACAGCACACACCCTCCTCATGTATACAGACACACAGCACACACCCTCCTCATGTACACAGACACAGCACACACCCTCCTCATGTACACAGACATACAGCACACACCCTCATGTACACAGACACACAGCACACACCCTCCTCGTGTACACAGACACACACCCTCCTCATGTACACAGACACACAGCACACACCCTCATGTACACAGACACACAGCACACACCCTCCTCGTGTACACAGACACACAGCACACACCCTCCTCGTGTACACAGACACACACCCTCCTCATCTACAGACACACAGCACACCCTCCTCATGTACACAGACACAGCACACACCCTCCTCATGTACACAGCACACACCCTCCTCATGTACACAGACACACAGCACACCCCCTCCTCATCTACACAGACACACAGCACACACCCTCATGTACACAGACACACACCCTCCTCATGTACAAAGACACACAGCACCCCCTCCTCATGTACACAGACACACAGCACACACCCTCCTCGTGTACACAGACACACAGCACACACCCTCCTCGTGTACACAGACACACAGCACACACCCTCATGTACACAGACACACAGCACACACCCTCCTCGTGTACACAGACACACACCCTCCTCATGTACACAGACACACAGCACACACCCTCATGTACACACACAGCACACACCCTCCTCATGTACACAGACACACAGCACACACCCTCATGTACACAGACACACAGCACACACCCTCCTCGTGTACACAGACACACACCCTCCTCATCTACAGACACACAGCACACACCCTCCTCATGTACACAGACACACAGCACACACCCTCCTCATCTACACAGACACACAGCACCCCCTCCTCATCTACACAGACACACAGCACACACCCTCCTCATGTACACAGACACAGCACACACCCTCCTCATGTACAAAGACACACAGCACACACCCTCCTCGTGTACACAGACACACAGCACACACCCTCATGTACACAGACACACAGCACACACCCTCCTCGTGTACACAGACACACAGCACACACCCTCATGTACACAGACACACAGCACACACCCTCCTCGTGTACACAGACACACACCCTTCTCATGTACACAGACACACAGCACACACCCTCCTCGTGTACACAGACACACAGCACACCCTCCTCATCTACAGACACACACCCTCATGTACACAGACACACAGCACCCCCTCCTCATCTACACAGCACACACAGCACACCCTCATCTACACAGACACAGCACACACCCTCCTCGTGTACACAGACACACAGCACACCCTCATGTACACAGACACACAGCACACACCCTCCGCATGTACACGGAGACACCGCGGCTCACGCGAGGCCAACGTACCCACGTACTCCTTGGGCTGGCTCTTCTTCTCACTCTTCACCGAGTGGGGGGCCGACCCCCCCCCACCGGAGGAAGGGCCCCCACCCCCACCGCCCCCCCCACCACCCCCCACCCCGGCGCCCCGCGCCCCCGCGCCCTCCTCGTCGGTGGAGTTGGCGTCGATGACCTCGCTCTCCTCCGTCGCCGACACCACGTGCTGCTGCTTGCGCGGCTTCTTGCGCGGCGACGCTCCGGCCGGAAGCTCGGCAGGGGCGGCGCCGGCCGCCAGCGAAGGCGGAGGCGGCGGAGGCGGCGGAGGCGGCGGCGGCAGCAGCCGCGAGTCGGAGGCGCCGCTGCCGGGCTGCGCCTGCGAGCCCTGCCGCACCTGCACCAGCGCCTGCACGGCTGCGCGAGGCGGCGGCGGAGGAGGCACGCGGGGAGAGCGGAGGAGCGAGTTGTGCGAGCGCGGCGCCGGTCAAATCGTCGTCGTCATCGTCGGCCGTGGCCTCTACCCTGCGCGTGTTCTCTAATCCACGTGTTCATGTCCCCGTCTCTCGGTGCAATCGTCATCATCATGGTCTATCCACTGTGATGATGTCTCTACCCTGCGTGTTCTCTATACCACGCTTCTCTCGTCGTTTCGCCTGTGACCTTGGTTATGAGCCACACGTCACGGCCGCCACGTAATCACGAGCATCACAGTTTTTTTACACATCCCATCAGTGACACGGCCTCATCTTCCCACTTAGGTGTATAGCTCTTTTTTCAGAAGCGACCTGGTGATCCAAGTGGCTTATCACGTGGAAATGTATAGCGACAAAATACTCTAAACGCGTGGTGATGTTGCTTCTAAACGTGGAGGGACTAACTGAAGGAACCCGGAAAAAAATCCACACGACCATAGGGAAAACATGCAAACTCCAAAGTTATACAGGGTGTTTCAAAAACATGGACCCGATCTCTGCAACCACGAACCGCCCATGAATTAAACTCTTGACCACTTGAAAGGGCGGGGCATAGAGAGGGCGGGGCATAGAGAGGGCGGGGCATAGAGTTTTAAATGAGTACCGCTCGATGCCTCTCCCAGCGCACAAACAGCCCCAAGCCTCAGTCATTCGCAAGATGGCGATCCCGCAACACAAGGGGCGTGTTTGCGTTCTGCAGTTCAGCAAGACTGAATCCGTAATTACGGTGCAGCGTGCGTTTCATCACACCCTGCGACTTTTTCGTCAAAGACCGTGTTTTTGTGCCACCATTAGTGACTAATCTGGAAGATCTCAAAAATAAAATCATGGCAGCGGTGACTTCAGTGGACGAAGACACTTTGAGAGGCGTTTGGGACAAATTCAACTATCGTCTCGATGTTGTCCGTACAGCAGGTGGAGGGCACAGAGCATTTATCAAATGGTTAGCAAAAATTGATAACTCATTAAACCGTTTGTAACTTTGTGTAATTGTAACATGTTGCCATCGTGAAGTAAACTGCTTTGAAATTGGGTACCATCTTTATGGAACATCCTGTATATTTCCCTCCACATTTATAATCTACGTATAAAAAAAGGGAAATTTGTGAATGGGTGTCTGTTCGAAATGTTTAGCATACTTCCCGACATGCAACAAACTTGAAATTTGGCATGTGGGTAGCTTCCAGACTGTACACAATGCAAAAAGTATAAAAATAGACTTTTGTATTTTTTGGGTGGAGCGCAATAATGGATATATTTAGCACGGCAAGTGAGCGGTGACGTCACATTTGTGATGTCACCCGCATGCGGCAGCGTCACGCAGTGTGCCTGCTGACGTCACGCATCCACCCCCACCCTCCGCGTAGGCCGTGTATTAATCCAAGAATCCAAGTCTCGGGCGAAGCCGGGTAGTCAAGCTAGTCAACATAAACATTTCCACACGGTGAAGATAAGCCACTTCCCGTTGAGCGATAACTTGTAGGTCGCTTCAAAAAGAAGATCCGCTCAGCTCAGTGGGCCTTACCTGGTTTCATATTTGTGTAAAGAGATTCACATCATGGGGTGGGCGATGATGTTGCGATTGTTGCCGTGCGTAATGCCATTGTGGGCGATAATTTTTCCATACTCGTCAGAGTTTAAAGCGGCGCACGACGGCCAGCCCCCTTCATCCAAACGACATCACGGGATACATTAACGGGATACATTATCGGGATCCTTAACGGGATCCTTAACAGGATCCTTGACGGGATCCTTGACGGGATCCTTAACGGGATCCTTAACGGGATCCTTAACGGGATCCTTGACGGGATCCTTGACGGGATCTTTGACGGGATCGTTGACGGGATCTTTAACGCCCACCGCGAGCGAGGCGGCCGGGGGCCTACTCTGAGAGGCTTTTACGATCAACGGCGCGGCATTAACCAGGGCGGCCCCAGCTGGACTTCCAACCGCCAACCTCTGCAACAAAGGGGGGGCCAAAATCACCCGTGATGGAGGACGCATCCATGGGCTCCGGCTCCTGCTTGATCTTCACCTCGAGCGCCAGCGCCAGCGCCGCAGCCGCCCCCCCCGCCGGCCCCGCGGCCAAGCCGGTGCCGCTGCGGCTCACCCCGGCCACGGCCGCCTGCGCCACCGCCTGCTGCTGCTGCTGAGAGGACGACGCCGCAGCAGCGGCCGCCAGCGCGCCGCTCGCCTGCTGCTGGTGCTGCTGCTGGTGGTGGTGCTGCTGCTGGTGCTGCTGCTGGTGAAGGTTGGAGCCGCCGCAGGGGACCGCCAGCGTGGAGCCGGCGCCCACGAGCGCCGTCTGGGAGGTGCCGCCGGGCCCACCGCCGGCCGCGGCGCCCTGCGACGAGTGCAGGGCGTGGTGCTGCTGCTGCTGCTGCTGGTGGTGCTGCTGCTGCTGGTGGTGCTGGGAGCTCTGGCGTAACTGCTGGGGAGGCTGCTGGGAGTCGTGGGCGGCGTGCGGCGCCGCGTGCTGGTGGTGCGGGTCCAGCGTGGGGCCACCGTCGCCGGGCTTCACCTCCCTGCGACCACGGTGGTGAGATGTTTACTACCTGGCCCGGTATGCAGGAGGTCGTGGGTTCCATCCCGACCCTGACGATGCCTGGTGCGCTGTCGTGGTTGCGTGGATTTTCCTCCGGGCCCTCCGGTTTTTTTCCCTCCACATTTAGCTGCTGCTATAACTGTCCACGCGATGATGATAAGCCACTTTTAATTATGATTTGCGATAGCCAGGTCGTTTCTGACGACGAGCTACGTACGGTGGGAAAGAAGTTCAACATACGTACGTACGTACATGTAACTCAGTGGGCCGAACCTGGTAAAATTTAAAATAGTTTATAGTTTGTATTTTAAAACCGCCGTTAGCTCGTTGATCGCTCGCTGAAACGCTAAACAGAGACACTCTCATCCAGCAGTGGATTAAAGTTGATTCTCAAGAGTAGAGAGTTCATGGTGGATTAACCGCTCACCTGAGATTTTCACAAATTAGTATCTCTCGGATTTTCCCTGAAACCCAGGTTAATAATCCAAAAACAGCTGCACATTCTTATTCTTGGAAATGTTGATTACAAGTCACACGGCGCTTAAACCGAACAAATGTGTTGCGCCGCTTAATCTGAAATCTACGTGATCTCCCGTAAAGAACAGTAGTTGCTTATCTTTACAACAGTGGGCGGAGTTTAATTGATGTTGATTGGCGTGGCTCTGCTGTCATCCACTTTGTGGGCCGAGTCTTCTGTGTGAGAGCAGGAAAGTGTTCGTATTTTCACTGAGCTTGCGCATCATAGATCGGTCAACCGCTAGTTTTTGGCGCAGAGATCCCCAGAAAATGGTGACATCTGTTGGCTTATCCGCGATGTTGGATTATCCGCAATGTTGGATTATCCGCAATGTTGGATTATCCGCAGCCGTCCTCCCCGTCATTAGCGCGGCCAATGGAGAGTTTTTGTATTTAAAAAACTAAATTCAAAAATTACGCCGTCGCAAACGACATCCGTTGTGACTACGCACAGCAGAGGACATCGCCCCGCCTCTGCCCCTATTGGCAGGCTGCTGCTGCTGCTGAGCCACCCGGTGCTACACAGGGACAGCTGCCACTGGGGGGGCGCCCTGCAGATAACCGAGATGGATCGCAAGGCGCTTTGAGCTCCAAGGGAGTGAAATGTCACGCAAACAAGGGTCGAGATGTCAGCTTGGTGAGCGAGAGGTCGGTAAGCGAGGGGCGAGGTGAGCGAGGAATGAGGCGAACGAGCGGTGAGAGATGAGCGAGGGGAGTGGAGAGCGAGGTGAGTGAGGGGTTGGATGGGAGAGGTGAGCGAGGTGAGCGAGGTGCGAGAGGGGTGAGGTGAGCCAGGTGTGAGAGAGGGGTGAGGTGAGCGAGGTGAGCGAGGTGAGTGGGGAGCGAGGTGAGCGAGGTGAGCGAGGTGAGTGGTGAGCGAGGTGAGCGAGGTGAGTGGTGAGCGAGGTGAGTGGGGAGCGAGGTGAGTGGGGAGCGAGGTGAGCGAGGTGAGCGAGGTGAGTGGTGAGCGAGGTGAGCGAGGTGAGCGAGGTGAGCGAGGTGAGCGGTGAGCGAGGTGAGCGAGGTGAGCGAGGTGAGGTGAGCGAGGTGAGCGAGGTGAGTGGTGAGCGAGGTGAGTGGTGAGCGAGGTGAGCGGGGAGCGAGGTGAGCGAGGTGAGCGAGGGGAGCGAGGTGAGTGGTGAGCGAGGTGAGCGATGCGAGGTGAGCGAGGTGAGTGGGGAGCGAGGTGAGTGGTGAGCGAGGTGAGCGAGGTGAGCGAGGTGAGTGGTGAGCGAGGTGAGTGGTGAGTGAGGTGAGCGAGGTTAGTGGGGAGCGAGGTGAGTGGGGAGCGAGGTGAGCGAGGTGAGTGGTGAGCGAGGTGAGTGGGGAGCGAGGTGAGTGGTGAGCGAGGTGAGCGAGGTGAGTGGTGAGCGAGGTGAGTGGTGAGCGAGGTGAGCGAGGTGAGTGGTGAGCGAGGTGAGTGGTGAGCGAGGTGAGCGAGGTGAGCGAGGTGAGTGGGGAGCGAGGTGAGTGGGGAGCGAGGTGAGCGAGGTGAGCGAGGTGAGTGGTGAGCGAGGTGAGCGAGGTGAGCGGTGAGCGAGGTGAGCGAGGTGAGGGGCCGTACCCCAGTGGGCGTGGCGAGCCGCTGCCCCGGGGGCTGTGTGCCGCCACCACCGCCGCCTCCACGGACGAGGGCAGCAACGCCTTGCGCACACCGGAGCTGCACGCAGCGTACACACAGAGTACACACAGAGTACACACAGAGTACACACAGAGTACACACAGAGTACACGCAGTAGTACACGCAGTAGTACACACAGTAGTACACGCAGTAGTACACGCAGAGTACACACAGAGTACACACAGAGTACACACAGAGTACACGCAGTAGTACACGCAGAGTACACGCAGAGTACACACAGAGTACACACAGAGTACACACAGAGTACACGCAGTAGTACACGCAGAGTACACACAGAGTACACGCAGAGTACACACAGAGTACACACAGAGTACACACAGTAGTACACGCAGAGTACACGCAGAGTACACACAGAGTACACACAGAGTACACGCAGTAGTACACGCAGTAGTACACGCAGAGTACACGCAGAGTACACGCAGAGTACACAGAGTACATAGAGTACACACAGAGTACACACAGTAGTACACGCAGAGTACACACAGAGTACACAGAGTACACACAGTAGTACATGCAGAGTACACAGAGTACACACAGAGTACACGCAGAGTACACACAGAGTATACAGAGTACACACAGTAGTACATGCAGAGTACACGCAGAGTACACGCAGAGTACACACAGTACACGCAGAGTACACACAGTAGTACACGCAGAGTACACACAGAGTACACAGAGTACACACAGTAGTACACACAGTAGTACATGCAGAGTACACACAGAGTACACATAGGGTACACGCAGAGTACACGCAGAGTACACAGAGTACACACAGTAGTACACACAGAGTAGGCACAGTAGTACACGCAGAGTACACACAGTAGTACACGCAGAGTAAACAGAGTTAGCAGAGTACACGCAGAGTACACACGGCACAGAGTACACACGGCGCAGAGTACACAGAGTAAATAGAGTACACAGAGTAAATAGAGTACACAGAGTAAATAGAGTACACGCAGAGTACACACGGCGCAGAGTACACGCAGAGTACACACGGCGCAGCGTAAACACGGCGCAGAGTACACAGAGTACACGCAGAGTACACACGGCGCAGAGTACAGAGTACACAGAGTACACACGGCGCAGAGTACACACGGCACGGAGAGAGAGCACACGCAACAAATGCATACATACATCATTAGAGACAAACACAATGCACTTCAAACACACACACTGCTCACCCCCTCACCTCTCACCCACACTCACCGCTCACCCACACCACTCACCCTTCGTTGGGCGGCTTGCGCCGTAGGATGCTGGGCCGGGGGGACGAGGCCTGAGGCTGGGAGCCCCCAGGGCCTGCAGGGCCCGGAGTGGCGGCGCCACCGCTGGCCTGGGAGCTTGAGAAAACGGAGCCCGAACCGTCGGCCACCACCACGCCTAGACACCACAACAACCACACACAACCACCCCACTAGAGACACAACCACACACAACCACACCACTAGAGACACAACCACACACAAGTACACCACGAGAGACACAACCAGACAACAACCACACACAACCACACCACTAGAGACACAACCACACACAACCACACCACTAGAGACACAACCACACACAAGTACACCACGAGAGACACAACCAGACACAACAACCACACACAACCACACCACTAGAGACACAACCACACACAACCACACCACTAGAGACACAACCACACACAACCACACCACTAGAGACACAACCACACACAACCACACCACTAGAGACACAACCACACACAATCACACCACTAGAGACACAACCACACACAACCACACCACTTGAGACACAACCACACACAACCACACCACTAGAGACACAACCACACACAACCACACCACTAGAGACACAACCACACACAACCACACCACTAGAGACACAACCACACACAACCACACCACTAGAGACACAACCACACACAACCACCCCACTAGAGACACAACCACACACAACCACACACAACCACACCACTAGAGACACAACCACACACAACCACACCACTAGAGACACAACCACACACAACCACACCACTAGAGACACAACCACACACAACCACACCACTAGAGACACAACCACACACAACCACACCACTAGAGACAACCACACACAACCACACCACTAGAGACACAACCACACACAACCACACCACTAGAGACACAACCACACACAACCACACCACTAGAGACACAACCACACACAACCACACCACTAGAGACACAACCACACACAACCACACACAACCACACCACTAGAGACACAACCACACACAACCACACCACTAGAGACACAACCACACACAACCACACCACTAGAGACACAACCACACACAACCACACCACTAGAGACACAACCACACACAACCACACCACTAGAGACACAACCACACACAACCACACCACTAGAGACACAACCACACACAACCACACCACTAGAGACACAACCACCACGCACAACCACACCACTAGAGACACAACCACACACAACCACACCACTAGAGACACAACCACACACAAGTACACCACGAGAGACACAACCACACACAACAACCACGCACAACCACACCACTAGAGACACAACCACACACAACCACACCACTAGAGACACAACCACACACAAGTACACCACGAGAGACACAACCACACACAACCACACCACTAGAGACACAACCACACACAAGTACACCACTAGAGACACAACCACACACAACCACACCACTAGAGACACAACCACAAACAACCACACCACTAGAGACACAACCACACACAACCACACCACTAGAGACACAACCACACACAACCACACCACTAGGGACACAACCACACACAACCACCACGCACAACCACACCACTAGAGACACAACCATACACAAGTACACCACGAGAGACACAACCACACACAAGTACACCACGAGAGACACAACCACACACAACCACACCACTAGAGACACAACCACACACAACCACACCACTAGAGACACAACCATACACAACCACACCACTAGAGACACAACCACACACAAGTACACCACGAGAGACACAACCAGACAACCACCACGCACAACCACACCACTAGAGACACAACCACACACAACCACACCACTAGAGACACAACCACACACAAGTACACCACGAGAGACACAACCAGACACAACCACCATGCACAACCACACCACTAGAGACACAACCACACACAAGTACACCACGAGAGACACAACCAGACACAACAACCACACACAACCACACCACTAGAGACACAACCACACACAACCACACCACTAGAGACACAACCACACACAAGTACACCACGAGAGACACAACCAGACACAACCACCACGCACAACCACACCACTAGAGACACAACCACACACAACCACACCACTAGAGACACAACCAGACACAACCACACCACTAGAGACACAACCACACACAAGTACACCACGAGAGACACAACCAGACACAACCACCACGCACAACCACACCACTAGAGACACAACCACACACAAGTACACCACGAGAGACACAACCAGACACAAGTACACCACGAGAGACACAACCACACACAAGTACACCACTAGAGACACAACCACACACAAGTACACCACGAGAGACACAACCAGACACAACCACCACGCACAACCACACCACTAGAGACACAACCGCACACATCCACGCACAACCACACAGAGACACAACCACGCACAACCACCACACCTTGACGTGCAACCAGACACAACTATCAACTCTATAAATTGTAAACACAAACACACACAACCACCACACGCACACACTTGCACATACACAACCCGCACACACCTGCACATACACACACCTGCATCCACACAACAACCCCCATTCGCCACTAAGTGGCGGTGACGTCACCACGGCGCTTGTGCCAGACTAAGTGCACACACACACAGCTGCACACGCGCGCACCTGTAGGTTTGCCATCGGCACTGCTGGAGGGGGGCTGAGAGCCCCCCATTCCCGTCGGCGCAGGGGGGAGGGGCCCCCCAAAGTGGCGGGCAGACTCCATGGGCATGAGCAGGTGGGGGGGCAGGCGCACGGGGGGAGCCGAACCCATGCTGGCGATGGCAGCAGCCGCACTCTGAGCTGTAAAGACAAAGATCCCCGTGTAGTCTTAACATGCTTTTGGGGCAAGTGCTATTAGTGAGAAGCAGCTATGAAGGTGCTTTTCACGAGGGGGTGGGTGGCCAGTACCACGCCCGGCCGCCTTTGGCTCCCCAGTGGCGATGTTTATTACACACAGCGCCATTTGAGGCCAGGTCGAACTAGGGGAGGCCCAGGACCGGTTCAGATAATCGTCACTGGTGTTGGCCGTGAGCGGGAATAGAACCCGGGCCGCCAAGTTCATAGTAGAGTGTTCACCGTGACACTACCGCTCCCCACTCCGAACTGCACACACAGAGAGACGCACACGCGCATGCACACTCGCGCACATGCGCGCATGCACACACGCGAAGCCTTAATGGAATGTTTGGGCAAGTTCCGGCAGCGAGCTCCCGTGAAGGCCAACCGCTCGCACGAGGGGACTGGGGTGGCAGCGCCAACCCGCACCCTTAGGCCAACCCGCACCCTTGCGCCCACCCGCCTTTGTCTCTGTCTTCTCCCGACGCGTCGGCGCTCCTTACCGGTGAGCGGGCGTACGGTGGTGACGGCGGTGGTGATGGGCGTGTAGTGGTGTTGCTGGAGCTGGTAGCTGGGCGCCAGCGCCGGGTATGGAGACGTGTAATAGTAGTACTGCTGGATGGGCACAGCGCTGTGCGCGCACACACACACACACGTACCACATGTAACACACACGTACCACATGTAACACACACACACATGTATCCCATGTAACACACACACACGTACCACATGTAACACACACGTACCACATGTAACACACACGTACCACATGTAACACACACACATGTATCCCATGTAACACACACACACGTACCACATGTAACACACACGTACCACATGTAACACACACGTACCACATGTAACACACACACATGTATCCCATGTAACACACACACACACGTACCACATGTAACACACACGTACCACATGTAACACACACACATGTATCCCATGTAACACACACACACGTACGCCATGTAACACACACAAGTACCCCATGTAGAGCTTAAACAGACTGTTGGGATAAGTGCTGTTAGCGTGTAGCACCTATGAAATTTGGCACGGCATGAGGGGGTGGGTGGCCAGCACCATTCTTGGCCACCAACGTGTCCCTAGTGGCAATGTTTACACACTGCACCAAGTACTCATTTGAGGCTGAGTCGACCTAGGGGAGGCCCTGGACCGGTTCAAATATTCGTCACCGGTGTTGGCCGTGAGTGGGAATCGAACTCAGGTCGCCGGGTTCGTAGCGTAGCGCGCTAACCGCTACACAACTGCTCTCCGCAACAAAAGCACCACTCGCACCAACACACACACGCACACCCCGCAACACACACACAAACGTAATAATCCCCATGTAATCATATGTTGTGATGGTTGCCATGGTGGCAGATGTGAAGGCGATTGTGGTGGTGAAGCTGGTTGTGATAAAAGTGGTGGTGTTGATAGTAGTGCAAATGATGGCGATAGCGGTTGCCATGTTGGTATAGTGATGGAGGCATTGATGGCGGCGATTGCCGTGTTGGTATGGTGATAGTGTTAACGATGGCGGTGGCGGTTGCCGTGGTGGTAAGGTGACGGTGGTAACGATGGTGTTGGTTGCCATGGTTGCTGTGTTGGTCCTCCCTCTCACCGATTGTCGGGGGTGCGTGTCTCCATGGTGACGGTGGTTGCCGTGGCGGCGCCGGCATTGGGGTTCGGGGAGGCGCGGTGGGCGCCGGGGATGGCGAGGAACGAGGGCGGCCGCTCCGCCGAGTAGTCGTGCCGATTCGGGATCTGCTGCTGCGGGATCACCTTGGCTGCAGGGCGTACAACGACAAAGACCCCCCCCCACCGTGTAGTCTAAACGGACTGTGGGGACGAGCGCTGTCAGTGCTCAATTCAGACCGAGATCACCTGGGAAAGGCCGAGGAACCAATTCAGAAACTCACCGCTGTTATTGGCTGTGAGCGGGAATCCAACAACTCGGGTTGCCCGGCTGCTTTTGCAGTGCGCTAACAACTCAACTACCGATCCCCATCAACAACCGCCATTCGCCACTAAGTGGCGGCGACGTCACCACAACGCTTGTGCCAGGCTAGGTGCACTTATAGGCCATGCAAAGTGTCGAAGGCTCACTGGCAGGAGGTCACGGAACAGACCCAGGTGCCGCGCATTAAGTGACCGAGATGACTGGCAGATGCACCAGCCGTGCTCCCCACTGCCACCTCCCTGCGTTCTTTTAGCCGCCTGGCGCTCCGCCTGTTGTTGTGAGCGTCGCTCCTCCGCCCTCCGCTGTTGCTGGAGGGCGACCGCCTCCAACTGCCCAGCAGCAGCAGCGTCCTTCACGAGCCACAAGCTCTCGCACATGGAGGGGTGGACTCACCCACGGGGATGGACGGGGGTGGAGCCGCCTGCGGGTGGATGCCGTGTCCCGGCACGTTCGCCACCGCGTGCGTCGGCACGGCTACGTGGAGGGGTGGGGGTGGGGGGGGCACGAGGGGCGGTGGGGGAGAGACGACAGCGGCAACACGCGGCTGAGTTGGCTGTTGACGTTGATTCGTTATTGAAATGTGACGTCAGGTTACCGAGATCGGACATCGTTGTGAATGAGATGGGACATCTTTTTGCGAGGTGTCGATTGGCACGTGCATAGCAAACAACGGTGAATCTATAACCTCGACCGCGTGCATTCATACAGTGTGATCATCGCACTCGGCCACACAAATACACACACATGCAACGTTGAGGCATGCACCGCCAATTCGCAGAGAACAGCCGAACGTGGCGTGCGAGAATTTCACCGAGGCTCGAATCGGTTGAGGGTGGCGGGCAACGTCTGGCACGGGACAGCGGAGTTACCGCGTGAGTACGACAACGGCAAGCCCAAAGGCTACCGAGCAGATGAACGCCATGGAAGGTCGCAACACAACTCACAGCCGCACCTTGCGCTGCGGTGGCGAGATGTTAACTCCCTCGCCTGGTATGCAGGATGTCGTGGGTTCAATCCTCACCCTGACGCCTGCTGCTGTATATTGGGAGTTTGCGTGTTCTCCCCATGGTCACGTGGATTTTTCTCCGGGTCCTCTGGTTTTTCCTCCAAATTTAGAATCTGTGTGCATTTAGAGAGTATTTGGCTGCTCTACATTTCCACGTGATTGGCCACTTAATTAAGCTCTCATTTGTGGTCACTTCTGAATAAGAGCTATATAGCTCAGTGGGTCTTACCTGACAAAACAAAAAGTTTGGTTTTTAATACTTAAATAAAAATAAATAAACTGCAGAGAATTGCTTATTTTTACGTTTACCACTTTAATGGCGCTTTGGGTGGCAGAGATTTGTGCCAAAAGTGAATGCACTCGACTTGGCGTGACCGACACGGGCCCAAGTTCGCTGTCCCTTCAAATAGATGTTCTTGCCTGGACCGAGATAATGGGGGGTGGCAGGAAGGTGGGGGGGGTGGTGGGCAGGGTGGGGGGGGGGGCAGGGTGGGGGGGGGCAGTGTGCGTGCGTAGGGGAGCGGACGCCCGAATGAAGCCGGGTGGTGGGGGGGGTGTAACTGTGTGTGTGCGTAGGGGAGCGGACGCCCGAGTGAAGCCGGGTGGTGGGGGGCAGGGTGGTGGGGGGGGTGTAACTGTGTGCGTGCGTAGGGGAGCGGACGCCCGAGTGCAGCTGGGCCCAACTGTGGGTGGAGTCTCGCCAAGGTCTCGAGCTGCACTTCTCCTGGCCAAAATCTGCCATGCCGGCTGAGCCGCCCGTACCGGACGACATCTGATAAGAGCTTCACAGCTCATCGGATTCCTCCTGCAGTCTAAATAAAGATTCTGTGTTCTGATAATAGGTGCTAGGAGCAATCGTCCCAACAACTCTGTAAAGGCTATAACAGGGACTCCTCGACTTATGAACATTCGACTTAAGAACTTTCAGAGGTATTAACAAACCTGTCGTTTTTACATTATGAGCCCCCTTTGCCAGTAACAAGATATAGTAATAGGTTTTACCCTTTTAACTGGCACAAAAACTGACACCTTTATTCAAGGCATCAGTCAAGCAGTCAAAATGCAAACAAAAGAGACAACTCTGTGGACCAATCAAATTCAAGGACAGTGCATATTATTATCACAGTTGTCTCTTTTGTTTGCATTTTGACTGCTTGTGTTGTGGTTATTGCAAACATGATGCCTTGAATAAAGGTGTCAGTTTTTGTGCCAGTTAAAAGGGTAAAACCTATTACTAAACCTGTCCTTATGTCCAGTTGCCTGTTCGGACCAAGAGTCGTAAGTTCAACCGCCGCGCAACAGATGGCGGTGGTGGCATCTACATCTGCAGAACATTAAGAACCAGTGGCATCTACAGGAGATTATACTAATTTTACAGATATTCCCCGTGTTTAGTGTACACGACGTACAAGATGCTTACACTTACAAATAAATCGACTTACAAAGGGACGGAACTCTGGAACCGAACTCGTCCGTAAGAAGAGGAGTCCCTGTGTGTATATATGTAGTGACACAAATGTTGTCACCGTGGTGTTAGCGCCAGCCACTAAGTCAGGAGGGCTGCTGAGCGCCGGGATCCTCCCTGGGAGGCTTGAGGGACGCGTGACCGGGGGCCGGGAACCACGGCATTGATACAGCAGGGGGCCTGGCCGAGGGCGGGGCGAGATCACGGCCAGGGTAGTAAAGGGGGAGCCCCGACAGGGATCGGTGTTCGTTGTGGGGATCAGCCTGGGGTCCGGTGTCTCTTTGCTCCTCGTTCGTCGAAGTTGTAGCTCGATATCGTCGATCAGACGGCGTGTGTGCTGACTGGCCCGTTCGCTACAGTAACCCGCACGCACATAGTGAACAGTATAGCCACCCCTAGCTAGAGAGCCCGTAGTGGTTAGAGTTGTGTTAATAAACGTGTTGCCCCCAACCATAGTGTGTACGGCTCAGTGTTATACACACTGCATATATACACAGGACATCTTTGTCTGTACCGGTGTGCCACTCACTCTGGGAGACGGACGAAGTGGCGGTGGCCACGCTGCTCTGGATGGGAGCCACCGTGACGGGGATGGGAGGGCCCAGGATGGCTTTCTGCAACAAATGGGCAGGAGCGTGGGGTGTGAGCGTGGGTGTGAGTGGGGTGTGAGTGGGGTGTGAGTGGGGTGTGAGTGGAGTGTGAGTGGGGTGTGAGTGGAGTGTGAGTGGGGTGTGAGTGGGGTGTGTGAGTGGGGTGTGAGCGTGGGTGTGAGTGGGGTGTGAGTGGGGTGTGAGTGGGGTGTGAGTGAGGTGTGAGTGAGGTGTGAGTGGCTGATTGTGGGGAGCGGTAGTGTAGCGATTAGTACGCTGCGCTATGAACCTGGCTATCCGGGTTCGATTCCCGTTCATTGCCAACACCAGTGACGATTATCTGAACCGGTCCTGGGCCTCCCCTAGGTCGACTCAGCCTGAAATGAGTACCTGGTGCGGTGTGTAAACATCGCCACTGGGGAGACAAAGGCGGTCGGGCGTGGTGCTGGCTACCAACCCCCTCGTGTACCGTTCCGGCCTTCATAGGTGGTTGCTAACAGCACTTGCCCCTACAGTCTGTTAAGGCTATACGGGAGATCTTTGTCTTTGGCTGATGGTGAGAATGGGGGGTGAGTGGTACTACCTGTTTGTGAGTGACAGTGCGAGTGGGGGGTGCGTGTTTGTGGGTGTGGTGAGTGGGGGTGATGGTGTGAGTGATGGTGTGGCGAGGGTGAGTGAGAGTGTGTGGTGAGTGTGTCGTGAGGATGTGAGTGAGGGTGTGGTGGTGAGGGTGAGTGTGGGTGGAGTCGCACCTGCTGCAGCGCCTGCAGCTGGATCTTGTGCTGCACCGTGGGGTGGGAGTGGGGGCCGTGGGGGAACCTCTGGGGGGGCTCCGCCGTGGGGGGCTGGTGCTGCCGGGCGGATGCCCCAACCCCTCCGAGTGGCGCGCCCGGAACCACACGCCTATACACGCACACCACACCACCACTATCACTGCACCACCTCCACCACTCATCACTAACACCGCACCACCATCACCTCACCACCGCGCAACCATCACCGCACCACCGCCACTACCATCCATCACTAATACCACACCGCCACCATCGCCGCACGCCTGTGCGCGCACACCACACCACCGTCACGGCACTACCGTGGTGAGGGTGCTGCTGTTGGTGCGAGTGGTGCTGTTGTTGCGGAGAGCAGTTGTGTAGCGGTTAGCGCGTTGCGCTACAAACCCGGCTACACGAGTTCGATTCCCGCTCATGGCCACCAACACCAGTGACGATGATCTGAACCGGTCCTGGGCCGCTCCTAGGTCGGCTCAGCCTCAAATTAGTACCTGGTGCGGTGTGTAACAATATCGCCACAGAGGAGACAAAGGCGGCCTGGCGTGGTGCTGGCCACTCACCCCCTCGTGTGCCGTGCCGGCCTACATCGGTGCAGCTCGCTAACAGCACTCGCCCCAACAGTCTGTTACAGGCTACACGGGGGATCTTTGTCTTTGCTGCTGTTGTTACCCGTGGGCGCTCGCCTCCACGCTGCCATGGGATGCGGTTGCCGTGGAGACAGAGGGAGAGTGAGCACGGGGAGCCGGGGCGATGGACGGGCCCGGACCGGAGGAGGAAGAGGAGCCTGATGATGGCATCGCCAAGCGGGACTGCGAGATGGAGATACAGAGATAGACGCACACAGAGATAGACACACACAGATATATATACACACAGATATAAACACAGGCACACACAGAGATATACACGCAGACACATACAGAGACACAGATACAAATATACACACGCACAGAAGCACACAGACACAAATATACACACACAGACGCAGAGACACACACACAGACAAATAAAGAGAAACAGATATACATAGAGACACAGCATTGAGACACATATACATACAGATGCAGAGACACACAGACACAGGTATACACACAGACACGCAGAGGGACACACACACACAAATAAATATACAGTGCACACACACACACAACAATATACATTGATACACCCACATGGAGAAACAGATAGATATATACATAAGACACAGACGCACACGGGGAGACAGAAAAAGATACACACATAAGATAGACACACACACACGGATAAACACCATGAACAATGGTAGGGGTAGTGTTGGTGTCAGATGTTGGCGATCGTGTTGGTGGTAGCGTCAGAGGTAGCGTCGGTAGTAACGTCGGTGGCAGCGGTAGCGTTGACGGTAGTGTACTCACATCGTGGACATCACGTGTGTAGTGACATCGTGAATGTCACTCAGTAATGCCGGCTCTAGCCAGGCACGGCGTGCGATGCATCGTCATCGCTGACACCCCGTAGGTGGGTGTAGTACCAGCCCTAGAGGTGAGCGCTGGGATAGCGCTCAGTGGCACCACACGTGGCGTGCTGAGCTGACTCCTACAGGAGGGAGTGTGAGAGTGTCAGCCATGGGATGAAGTTATCCTGGGCCATGGCACTCTGGTTGACCCTGGAAGTCACGTGACAAGTAAGATCTACACAGGGCCCCAGGTGGAAGCTAGGGGGTGGTCACGTGTCAGGGTGAGATCCTACGGCAAGGGTCGAGAAACCCTAGGAGGTTTCTCGAAGGTGGTCATGGCCAAGGGCGGGGCCAGCCACGACCCGGGAGCATTTAAACCGGGTCCTCACAGGGATCGGGGTTCCAGCGTTGCTGTTGTCATCTGAAGATCTACGATCTACATCCAAGAAGAAGTCACCAACACGTGGACGAGGACCCAAGCCAGGGTCCTGTCCGTTGTAGCTACTCCCGGTAACTAGCGTAGTTAGCCTGGTGGTCCACCACCATAGGTTATCTGGTAAAGGGGCAGTAACCCCCTTGTGTTAATGTACGTCTGCGACTCAATTGAACCCACTACAGTAGTACTGGCGGTAGTATTGGCGGTAGTGTTGGTGTCTGGTGTTTATGGTAGTGTTGGTGGTGGTGTTTGTGGTGGTAGTAGTGTTGGTGTCTGGTGCTTGTGGTAGTGTTGCAGGTAGTGTTGGTGGTAGTGTTGGTGCTGGCGTTGGTGTTGGTGGAGAGGGAGGCAGGGCCGGCACCTGTATGGGGTGGATGATGGGTGGCGTGGGGTTGCGCAGCACCGTTGTGGTCACCCCTTTGGGAGTGGAGATGGCAGCAGCCACCGCGGCCCCTGCCACCACAGCAAAGCGCCATCGCGGTTAACGAGCGCAGCCGTCAGTTAAATCACCGCACACGTACAAACAACGACAAAGATCGCCCGTATAGCCTTAACAGACTGTTGGGGCAAGTGTTGTTAGCGAGCACCTATGGGGGCTGGCACGGCACACGAAGGGGTGGGTGGGTGAACAGCACCACGCCCGGCCACCTTTGTCTCCTTAGTGACGATGTCTACACACCGCACCAGATACTAATTTGAGGCTGAGTTGACTTAGGGGAGGCTCACGGCCGGTTCAGATAATCATCACTGGTGTTGGCCGTGAGCGGGAATCGAACCTGGGTCGCCAGGTTTGTTACGCTACACTTCTGCTCACACGCGCACACATGCACGCACACACGCACGCACACACGCACACGCACGCATGCACACGCGCGCACACACACGCACGCACACATGCACGCACACACACACACATGCACGCACGCACGCACGCACGCACACACACACATGCACGCACGCACACACGCACGCACACACGCACGCACGCACGCACACACGCACGCACACATGCACGCGTGTATATGCGCACCCCTGGGTAGATGGGAGAAGACGGAGGGCGCCCCCTGCACCGTGCTACGGATGATTGACATCTGCACGGCCTGGACCCCCGCTCCCACGATGGGGTGGTGTGGTACGCCACCCGGACCCTGGGCACACACACACACACAAAGACGAAGATCACCCGTATAGCCTTAACTAGACTGTTGGGGCAAGTGCTGTTAGCGAGCACCTATGAAGGCTGGCACGGCACACGAGGGGGTGGGTGGTCAGCACCACACCCGGCCGCCTTTGCCTCCCTCGTGATGATGTTTACACACCGCACCAGGTACTCATTTAAGGCCGAGTCGACCTTAGGGAGGCCCAGGACAGGTTCAGATAATCATCACTGGTGTTGGCCGTGAGCGGGAATCAAACTCAGATCGCTGGGTTCATTGTGCAGTGCACTAACCACTGCACTACCGCTCCCCACCACGCAGACACACGGGCGTAAACACACACGGGCGTAAACACACACACACACGCTCTCAGCACCTCCGAGCGTAGGCTGCAGCAAGCCTCCTCATTCCAGCCGGAAACCTCCTCCATCAGCCAGGGTTTTCTGTGGAGGCCTGGACTGCGCTACCCAACGCAACCATAGAAAGGTGCGTGAGCCACAGTAATGAACCTCAATAATTTTTCCCTCTGCACAAACTGTCACACACATACACAAGCTCACGCATGGTACACTAGCTTGCACATGCATACACACTTACACAGGCATAGACATTGACACGAAGACAAATATCCCTCTTGTAGCCTTGACAGACTGTTGGGGCAAGTGCTGTCAGCGAGCACCTATGAAGGCTGGCTCGACCACACCAGGGGTTGGGTGGCTAACACCACGCAGTCGCCTTCATCTCTCTAGAGTCGATGTTTTTACACCGCACCAGATACTCATTTGAGGCCGAGACGACCCAAGGGATGGCCAAGGACCGGTTCAGATAATCGTCACTGGTGTTGGTGGCCGTGAGCGGGAATCCAACACTGATCGCCGAGTTCGTAGCTCGCCCACACTGACACTAACGCTCCCCACACTGACACTAACGCTCCCCACACTGACACTAACGCTCCCCACACTGACACTAACACTCCCCACACTGACACTAACGCACACACACTGACACTAACGCTCCCCACACTGACACTAACGCACACACACTGACACTAACACACACACACACTGACACTAACGCTCCCCACACTGACACTAACGCTCCCCACACTGACACTAACACTCCCCACATTGACACTAACGCTCGCCCACTTTGACACAAGCGCACACACACTGACACTAACGCTCGCCCACACTGACACTAACGCTCCCCACACTGACACTAACGCTCCCCACACTGACACTAACGCTCCCCACACTGACACTAACACACACACACACTGACACTAACGCTCCCCACACTGACACTAACGCTCCCCACACTGACACTAACGCTCCCCACACTGACACTAACGCTCCCCACATTGACACTAACGCTCCCCACACTGACACTAACACTCCCCACACTGACACTAACGCACACACACTCACACTAACACACACACACTGACACTAACGCTCCCCACACTGACACTAACGCTCCCCACACTGACACTAACGCTCCCCACACTGACACTAACACTCCCCACACTGACACTAACGCTCCCCACACTGACACTAACGCTCCCCACACTGACACTAACGCTCCCCACACTGACACTAACGCACACACACTCACACTAACACACACACACTGACACTAACGCTCGCCCACACTGACACAAGCGCACACACACACAGGCGAACGTACGCTTCCGTCTGTGCCCACGCAACGCCGAGGGTCCAAAGACAAAGATCCCCCCCCCCCGTGTAGCCTTCAACAGACCGAAGGGGCAAGTGCCGTTCACAGCAAGCACTTACGAAGGGGGCCACGACAACGCGAGGGGCTTGCGTGGCCGGCAGCCACTGACACCTCGAGGGTTCACGCGCACGCACGATGCCGCGTTGACCCTGACCGAGCAAACGGCAGCGTCACCTGCTGCCCGCTGATGGTGGCGACGGGGATGGTGGTGGTGGGGGGCACCCCCCCGGTCTCAAGGCCGGCGCCAGCGTGTGGGGGGCCCTTGACAGAGGGAGCCGAGTGCGCGGGGGGCCCTGGAGGGATGGCAGGAGCCGGAGCGATGGGGCGCGTTGGAAGGGGCAGCTTCCCCGACTGCTGGGGGAAAAAGCAGGTGGACATTTTCACAACGCGAGCAGATGCCAAGCACACAGAGATGCACGTACACACAGAGACATGTACATAGACACACAAAGACAAAGATCCCCCGTAAAGCCTGCAACAGACTGTTGGGGCAAGTGCTGTTGGCGAGTAGCACCTGTGAAGGCCAGCACGGCACATGAGGGGGTGTGGGGTGGCCAGAACCACACTTGGCCGCCTTTGTCTCCCCAGTGGCGATGCTTACACATCGCACCAGGTACTCATTTTAGGCTGACCCGACCTAGGGGAAGCCCGGGACGGTGGCCATGAGCGGGAATCGAACTCGGGTCGCCAGTTTTGCAGCCCAAAGCCCAAACCGCTACAATATCGCTCCCCACACACACACACGTACACAGAGATACGCGCGCACAAACACACACAAACACACGCACAGGAGCCATGCCTCTATCCTGAGCAACCGGCTGCATAACGACTGGCAAGCGGTTGCTGGAGACGTCCACGCACAAGTGATGGGATCCAGCTGCACGCAACCAAGCCGGGCGACCGATGGCTCAGGTGCGCAGCCCGGCTTTAGGAACCGCGCCCCCGGCCGGACACGGGGGTCCACCGGCTGGGGTCCGCTGCTGACGTCCATCGCTGGAGCCCACCGGTGGGGTTCACCACCCCCGGCTAGGGTCCACCGACCGGGCCCACCGGCCGGGGTGCACCGGAGGTGGCCCTGCAGGGGTGTCAGCTTCCCCCCACCTTGGCGACGGCCTCGGGGAAGACGGCTTGGATGTGCCCCGGCAGGTGCGTCGCGAGCGCCGCCGAGGACGCCGCCGCCGCCGGCGACGACGACGAGGCGAGCGCAGACGGGGCGGACGGGGGGGGCCGCGTGAGCCGCCGTGTGGTGCTGGGGCAGCTGCGACATCCCCGCGGCGCACAGCGAGGGCGAGTGGCCGCCGCCACCAAACGCCGGGAGGTGCACGCCGGGAGGCAGGCCAATGGCGGCGGCCAGGCCCGGCGACGCCGTGTGTTGCCGCTGCTGCTGCTGCTGCTGCGCCATGTGCACGGCCGCGTGGCCGGCGGGAGCGCCGGTCGTGCCGCCGGCCAACACGGTCGCCGACACCGGCTGCTGCTGCTGCAGCTGCTGCTGCTGCTGCTGCAGGGCGCCGTGGGACGTGTGGGCGACGAGCGGTGGCGCGCCCTGCGGGAGGGCCGCCGCCGCGGCCGCCACCACGGCCGCCACCGCCCCACCCTGTGAGCCCGGTGCGCTCTGGGAAGAGAGTGGTGCGTGCTGGGACGGCTGGATCTGCGGATAGGGGCGCACGGCAACGGCCTCCATCTTGTCGTCGCGGTAAGGCCCCGAGGCGGCCATGACGGCGTGGGAAGAGCCCGTGGTGGGGTCGTCGCACTTGCCTAGGCACACACAAACATCCCCCCCAAAGCCTTCAGCGACTGCCGGGGCAAGTGTTGTCGTTGTGTTGTTGTCGTCGCCCAGGTCCCTTTGTAGGCCGACGCGGCATGCGAGGGGCAGCAGCGTGGCCAGCACCGTGCCCTTGCCACCTTTATCTTCCCAACGCCGGTGTTTTATAGGGGAGGGAGGCCCATGACCGGTTCAGATATTCGTCACTGTTGGCCCATGACCGTAACTCGATCCCGTACATAGCCAACCGATTAGCAAGGTAGGCTATGTACGGTGTGAATACATACGTGCCACAACTTGGTGACCACTGCACCACCGCTGGACATACGTACACCATACTGACAAGAGGGCGATATGGCACGAGGAGGTTCGATGGCATCAGTATAAATGTGTCATTAAACCGCCACCACCCGACAGCAAATTATCGAGGTTTGTCACGTGAACAAAATGTGCCAATTAGTTTCTACTTCAGCCACAACATTTACAATTTGAGTACAACGTTTCGCTGGTAATTACATCCAGATGTAATGGTTAGTGAGAAAAAAATCGCCCAATGATGCTTGATGTAATTACCAGCGAAATGTCATATTGCTCGAATTGTACATGCTGTCGATTTACCCTCCAACACACCGGTGGGCTGAACTAGTAACTAATCGGCACGTTTTGTTAACGTGACAAATATTACTAATTGGCTGCCGGGTGGTGGAAGGTTTAAATTTACGCGATCTAACCCACAAAAAAAACCTCTTATGGATATTGGTCGCGAAATCCTACGCGTCAAACAGACACGGGGAGGTCTACATCCATCAGTAAATGGACCAAGGCCCGTGAGGAAGATGGTGACGAGAGAGCGTGTGTGTGTCGAGTGGGATCCCCCCGTGCGTGGGGGTAGGGCCCCACCTGGAGGGGTACCACCGGGCCCACTTGGGTTGGGCTGCCCAGAGCTCCCTCCACCCCCTGAGGAACTGGCCAACTGGTGGCCGCTCATGGCTGGGGGCGCACTGTGGGCACACGGGGACACGCACACATACACGCACGCACGGGTTAATGAGATACAATGACAAATATCGCCCCGTACAGCCCTCAACAGACTGTTGGGACAAGTGCTGTTAGCGAGCACCTATGGAGGCCGGCACGGCACACGAGGGGGTGGGTGGGCAACAGCACGCCCGCTTGGCCGCCTTTGTCTCCCCAGTGGTGATGTATTTACACACCGCAGCACGTACTAATTTGAGGCTGAGTCGACCTCAAAAGGAGGCTCAGGACCGATTTTGGATACTCGTCACTGCTGTTGGCCGTGAGTAGGACTTGAACTTGGATTGCCGGGTTCATAGCGCAGCATACTTCCCGCTAAACTACCTAAAGATTCCCCGTATAGCCTGAACAGGCTGTTGGGGCAAACACTGTGAGCGAGTAGCACCTATGAAGGGCGGCACGGTACACGAGGGGGTGGGTGTCCAGCACCACGCCGGACCGCCTTTGTCTCCCCAGTGGCAAAGATTTTACACACCGCACCAGGTACTCATTTGAGGCTGAGTCGACCTAGAAGAGACCCAGGACCGGTTCACTGATTGTGCCAGGCTAGGTGCACTTTGAGATACACACACAGCGATACACAGAGATGCACACACTACAATATAAACACACGTAGCTACATATATAAAACACAGAGGTACACAAACAGATACTGCACGTAGTTCCACACGTGACATGGTGGTACCCCGCGTTCCAAATAATACAAACCGGCCGAGGCAATTAAATATTTTATTTCTGGGAGACTTTTTTTTCTAGGGGTGTACTTCACTCCGTGACTGGGGTACCAATCAATTCGAAACCAGTGCCACTCCGCGATCTCGAAACACAGCGAGGACGATTGCGCTGAAACCCTGAACGCTCGTATGCACCGTGGTGGTGCATCGTAGTGTACAGCTCGTCGAGAGGAGTCGATTGGACTAAAAGTGACTGCATCACGGACATCATGCGAGAGCTGGGGTACTATGGTACCCCGGGGTACCGTCATAAGGTTAATTTGTAAATAACGATTCTCATTACAAATACACAGATATTCTCACCACACACAGATGCACAGATGCAACAGCAACCTCCATTCATCAATAAGTGACGGTGACGTCACCACGGGGCTTGTGCCAGACTAGGTGCTCTTTGAAGCTACGTGAAGTGACAGACCCAGGTGCCATGGGTTGACTGACTGCGATGACTGGTAGATGCACCGCTAGCTGTGCCCCCCACTGTGCTAACTCTCTGCGTTTTATCCGCGCGGCGCTCAGCTCGTTGTTGTGAGCCTGCCCTCCACTGTTGCTGGAGGGCGACTGCCTCTCACCGCCCAGCAGCGTCCTTCATGAGCCTCCTTCATAGTGGCCGATCTTGACACCGCTGATATCTGGCATCCGCAAGTCCACTCAGCTCCACATCCTCCTGTACCACATCTCAGTCCATCTCTTCTCCAGCCCATGCAACGCCTGTTTAGCCCCCCGCCCCTAGCTGCATGGGCCTGCGGTGGCTGGGCATGCGATCTACATGACCCAGCCAAGGAAGCATCGCCTACCGGAGGAGCTCACGGATGATGGGACTGTGTTCAGATCGTTGAAGGATACTGGAGCTCCTCAACACAATCCAGCCTGGTTAAACTCGGGATGGATCGCAGGCAGTCCAGTCTGAATGTTTTCTAACCGTCGCAGGTGTCCCATTAGAGGGGTTCACGTTTCGCAAACAGAGAAGGAAGGGCATGACTGTGACCAAGAAGACCCGGAGCTTTGTTTGGTATGGAGCGAGCGGCCAGGTAAGCTGACGCAGCTGATGAAAAGACAAAGCCACTCGACTGATTCGGAGTGAGACCTCTGCTAGCAAATCGGAGCTGGTCATAAGCACACCGCCAAGTAGGGAAACCACGCAATACATACACTATAGACACTGCAATGTATACACTATAGACACTGCAATGTATACACTATAGACATTGCAATGTATACACTATAGACACTGCAATGTATACACTATAGACACTGCAATGTATGCACAATATACCTTGAAATGTATACACTATAGACATTGCAATGTATACACTATAGACCTTGCAATGTATACACTATAGACACTGCAATGTATACACTATAGACCTTGCAATGTCTACACTATAGACATTGCAATGTATACACTATAGACACTGCAATGCATACACTATAGACATTGCAATGTATACACTATAGACATTGCAATGTATACACTATAGACATTGCAATGTATACACTATAGACATTTCAATGTATACACTATAGACACTGCAATGTATACACTATAGACCTTGCAATGTATACACTATAGACACTGCAATGTATACACTATAGACCTTGCAATGTATACACTATAGACACTGCAATGTATACACTATATACCTTGCAATGTATACACTATAGACACTGCAATGTATACACTATAGACACTGCAATGTATACACTATAGACATTGCAATGTATACACTATAGACACTGCAATGTATACACTATAGACACTGCAATGTATACACTATAGACACTGCAATGTATACACTATAGACATTGCAATATATACACTATAGACATTGCAATGTATACACTATAGACACTGCAATGTATACACTATAGACACTGCAATGTATACGCTATAGACATTGCAATGTATACGCTATAGACACTGCAATGTATACACTATAGACACTGCAATGTATACACTATAGACACTGCAATGTATACACTATAGACACTGCAATGTATACACTGTAGACATTGCAATGTATACACTATAGACATTCCAATGTATACACTATAGACATTCCAATGTATACACTATAGACATTGCAATGTATACACTATAGACCTTGAAATGTATACACTATAGACATTGCAATGTATACACTATAGACACTGCAATGTATACACTATAGACCTTGAAATGTATAAACTATAGACATTGCAATGTATACACTATAGACCTTGCAATGTATACACTATAAACATTGCAATGTATACACTATAGACACTGCAATGTATACACTATAGACCTTGCAATGCATACACTGTAGACATTGCAATGTATACACTATAGACATTGCAATGTATACACTATAGACATTGCAATACATACACTATAGAGATTGCAATGTACAGTGAGGGAATAAAGTATTTGATCCCCTGCTGATTTTGTACGTTTGCCCACTGACAAAGAAATGATCTGTCTATAATTTTAATGGTAGGTTTATTTGAACAGTGAGAGACAGAATAACAACAAAAAATTCCAGAAAAACGCATGTCAAAAATTTTATAAATTGATTGGCATTTTAATGAGGAAAATAAGTATTTGACCCCTCTGCAACACGTGACTTAGTACTTGGTGGCAAAACCCTTGTTGGCAATCACAGAGGTCAGACGTTTCTTGTAGTTGGCCACCAGGTTTGCACACATTTCAGGGGGGATTTTGTCCCACTCCTCTTTGCAGATCTTCTCCAAGTCATTAAGGTTTCGAGGCTGACGGTTGGCAACTCGAACCTTCAGTTCCCTCCACAGATTTTCTATGGGATTAAGGTCTGGAGACTGGCTAGGCCACTCCAGGACCTTAATGTGCTTCTTCTTGAGCCACTCCTTTGTTGCCTTGGCCGTGTGTTTTGGGTCATTGTCATGCTGGAATACCCATCCACGACCCATTTTCAATGCCCTGGCTGAGGGAAGGAGGTTCTCACCCAAGATTTGACGGTACATGGCCCCGTCCGTCGTCCCTTTGATTCGGTGAAGTTGTCCTGTCCCCTTAGCAGAAAAACACCCCCAAAGCATGTTTCCACCTCCATGTTTGACGGTGGGGATGCTGTTCTTGGGGTCATAGGCAGCATTCCTCCTCCTCCAAACACGGCGAGTTGAGTTGATGCCAAAGAGCTCCATTTTGGTCTCATCTGACCACAACACTTTCACCCAGTTGTCCTCTGAATCATTCAGATGTTCATTGGAAAACTTCAGACGGGCATGTATATGTGCTTTCTTGAGCAGGGGGACCTTGCGGGTGTTGCAGGATTTAATTCCTTCACAGCGTAGTGTGTTACCAATTGTTTTCTTGGAGACTATGGTCCCAGCTGCCTTGAGATCATTGACAAGATCCTCCCGTGTAGTTCTGGGCTGATTCCTCACCGTTCTCATGATCATTGCAACTCTACGAGGTGAGATCTTGCATGGAGCCCCAGGCCGAGGGAGATTGACCGTTCTTTTGTATTTCTTCCATTTGCGAATAATCGCACCAACTGTTGTCACCTTCTCAACAAGCTGCTTGGCAATGGTCTTGTAGCCCATTCCAGCCTTGTGTAGGTCTACAATCTTGTCCCTGACATCATTGAAGAGCTCTTTGGTCTTGGCCATGGTGGAGAGTTTGGAATCTGACAGATTGATTGCTTCTGTGGACAAGTGTCTTTTATACAGGTAACAAGCTGAGATTAGGAGCACTCCCTTTAAGAGTGTGCTCCTAATCTCAGCTCGTCACCTGTATAAAAGACACCTGGGAGCCATTAATGTTTCTGATTGAGAGGGGGTCAAATACTTATTTCCCTCATTAAAATGCAAATCAATGTATAACATTTTTGACATGCGTTTTTCTGGATTTTGTTGTTGTTATTCTTTCTCTCACTGTTCAAATAAACCTAACATTAAAATTATAGACTGATAATTTCTTTGTCAGTGGGCAAACGTACAAAATCAGCAGGGGATAAAATACTTTTTTTCCCTCACTGTCTACACTATAGACAAAGCAATGTATACACTTTAGACATTACAATGTATACACTATAGACATTGCAATGTATACACTATAGACATTGCAATGTATACACTATAGGCATTGCAATGTATACACTATAGACATTGAAATGTATACACTATAGACATTGCAATATATACACTATAGACATTGCAATGTATGTATTTTGAACTTATTTCCCGCCGTACGTAGCCAACAGTGCTATTCTGAGGTACAAACACTAAATAAACTACACACTACACGAGTATACACACAGTACACTACTTTACATACACAACACATACACACAATGTATACACTGTACACACTATGAACACTAACTACACTACATAATATACACAACACATTACACATACACTACACACACAACACATTACACATACACACACTGTACAATACACACTATCGCACAATATACACGGAGCACTGCATGCACACGACTCTGCGCGATTCGACTGGATATGGGAACCCAAATGGTGAAGTATGGTCAAAGAAACACCCCGCGTTACCCAGGGCCCTGGGTCCACATCGGCGTTGGCTGGGTAGGCGAAGCAGCAGCAGGGAAGGGGGCCGCATTCATCCAGCAGTGGATAGGCCGTGGTTGATGGTCACGCACACCGCAAACTAAGACAAATGTCCCCCGCGTAGCCTCCGCAGGCTGCAGGGGCAAGTGCCATCGGCGAGTAGCACCGACGCAGGCCGGCACGGCACACGAGGGGGTGGGTGGCCAGCACCACGCCCGGCCGCCTTTGTCTCCCCAGTGGCGATGTTTACTTCACACCGCTACACCGGGTACTACTCATTTGAGGCTGAGTCGACCTAGGGGAGGCCCAGGACCGGTTCAGAACCACGACCCGAACCGCTGGGAAGGCGAAGCAGCCGGAAGGGGCCGAATTCATCCAGCAGTGGATAGACCGTGGTAGAGAGCAACACACCGTATGCCACGCAGCATACACAGATACACAAACAACGCAACGCGGCTCACCCGCACTCACCTCGGCGCTCCTCACCGTCTCACCACACTCAACACGAGCTCTCACTCACCTCTACCTCACCACCGCGCTCTGCCCCTCACCATACTCGGCCACTCTCACATTCTCCTCTCACCAACACTCTCTCCCCTACGCTCTCACCTCGCTCTCTCCCCTCTCCCCCACACTCTCTCCCCTACGCTCTCTCCCCTCTCCCCCACGCTCTCCCCACACTCTCCCCTACGCTCTCACCTCGCTCTCTCCCCTCTCCCCCACGCTCTCTCCTCTATGCTCTCTCCCCTCTCCCCCACGCTCTCCCCACGCTATCCCCTCTCCCCTACGCTCTCCCACACTCTCCCCTCTCCCCCACGCTCTCACCTCGCGCACTCGCAACGTTGTCCACCGTCGTCTTCTCCGCTGTTGCTTGTCCCAGGCCTGGGCCCCGCCCCCATTGCGCTCTCCCATTGGCCGAGCCGAGCTCGCGCGCCACCAACACGCGTGCCAATTGGCCGCCATGGGGGGGGAGAGGAGTGGTTAGAACAAAAAATTCGATGGGTGGCGTGACGCCGCGCGGTGACGTCGACACGCAGCGCATGTTTTCGTGACGTCACGACGTTGGGTCGCGCGTGAGGTACGCCGTGACGCCCATTCCCCATCGGAGTAAACAGTGACGTCACGCGCGTGGGGGCTCGTCGTGACGTCACGCGCTATCCCATGCCCCTCGTCAAGGCAGTGTGTTGTCATGGTCCCGTCAGCCACGACCTCCATCTCGGAGTGCCATCACTTCAGCAACATTCATTCAGCACGGGCAAAAAAGAATAAAACGTGCTTCAAATCGCTTTAAACTATTGTCATTGTAGTGCGTATTTAATGTGGGGCTGCACTCTGAGGTTCGCCGGTCTTCATCCTTTCACAGAAAATACTTGTGCAAACTATTAATTCTACTTTTCTTATTTCTGGGTGGTATTGAGCTTCATCCTGGCCCAAATGAAAAGAACTCGTATAATTCTGTAGATTTTTCTGGCAGGAAAGGTGTTGGTGTTCTACATGTCAACATCAGAGGGCTTGTGATTAAATTAAGTCAACTAAAACTAGAAGTGGCAAATCTTGACCCGGACATTTTTTGCCTAACAGACCACATTTCTCACTCCTGCCGTCAATGATTTGCAGATTGCGATTGACCACTACAACCTTTTTCGGCTTGACCGAGGATCTAAAGGAGGTGGAATTACCATCTATGTTCGTAATACTATTGCATGTTGACTAGCTCACTCCTTGTTTTAAAAATGTTGCTTTGAAGGTCTGGCTTTCAAAATAACTCTCCCAAATGATCAACAGATATTGGTAGTGTGCTGCTATAGACCGCCTAGTGGGAAGGATGTTGAAGCTGCATCTGCACTGAGAGAGCGTTTTGGGGGCCTCCCTAAAGGTGAAATAGTTTTAGTGGGTGATCTAAATTGGAATTGGCTAAACCTGCCAGCCGTGGCCACAAATTTTGCAGATGAATTTAACCTGTTTCAATTAATAAATGTCCCCACAAGACCCAACCTAAAAAATCCGGGACAGTCATCTCTGCTTGACGTCCTATTGACAAATACCCCTCACAATTTCACACTGACTGGTGTTCTGGGTAATAACCTTAGTGATCACTCCTTCATTTTTGGGGTGAGATCATCAGCCAGACCCAAAGCACTCAGGCATTTACTAATGATGTGCTTCACTCGGATATTGACAAGGTCTGTGATATCCCCAACCTGACTACGGCTTGAAAGACCTTCAGGTACACGTTTCTCCAAATTCTTAACAAACATGCTCCGTTGGTTAGATTTAAAACTAAAGGCAAGCACCCACCATGGTTTGATCCTTTGATTACAAAGCTCATGAAAACTATAGGGACAAGGCTTCGGCATGTGCTCAGAAAAGTAATTTGATCAATGACTGGCTAGAATACAGGATTATAAGGAACAGATGCGTCAAAAAAATACGGCATGCAAAAAATGGCTACTTTTCCTCCACTCTCCTGGAATCGCATGGAAATGCCAGGATTTTATGGAAAACAATCAAATGTATCGAAAAGGCATCCAAAACAAACAATCTGCCCGTTGAGCTTAACCGAAATGGGGAATATTTTTCAGAACCCAAAAAAATAGTTGACAATTTTAACATTCATTTTTCTGAAGCTGGTAATCTTTTTGATAATGTATTGGAAGTCACCCCTGCTCATGCAAATTCCTACACCCCTGTCCAAACATTAAACGAATTTAGTTTCCAGCCAATCCACGAAAGTAATGTTCTGAAACAACTGTCCTACCTGAAAGGGTCCTCCTCTACCGGAGCAGATAGTATTCTCGTCTTTGCTCTACTAACTGTTGGTCACCTAATATACAAACCTAAAGCCCATATTTTCAACCTGTCCATCAAAGAAGCATCAGTTCCTCTAGAATGGAAACATTCCTATGTCCGTCCACTTCACAAAGGGGGCCCTAAAGATGATCCAAATAACTACCGACCTATCTCAATTTTGTCCCCGTTGATGAAAATTTTTGAAACATTATTGACCTACCAAATCAGCAGTTTCCTGTCCACAAACAATCTACTACATCTAAAACAATCTGGGTTCCGAAAAAAACAGCGCCACATCTGCTGCATTAGACTCTCTGAATCACATTAACAGTAGCCTTGATAATAAGCAGTGCTCTGCCTGTCTTTTTCTAGATCTGTCCAAAGCTTTTGATAGTAGACCACAACACCCTGCTTAGTTAACTAAGTTGCCTCGGTTTTTCCGAAAACGCAGTAAAATGGTTAAAAAATTACCTCTTTTCTTGCACCCAAACTGTATTCACAGATGGTTGGAGGTCAAACAGTGTTAAGATAACAAAAGGGGTTCCACAGGGTTTCCATCCTCGGCCCCCTCTTGCTCTCTCTTCATGTCAATGACTTGGGCACTGACCTGGATCATTCCAGGGTAAATCTTTTTGCAGATGACACGATACTGATTACTGCTGGCCGCTCTCCAGGTGACGTGATTGCTAAGCTACAGGGTGATTTCAACAAACTACAATATCAGCTAGTTGCTCTTAAACTAGTCCTGAATACCTCCAAAACCAAGGTCCTATGCTTCTCACCAGGACTAAAGCAGGAAGTTATTTTTCCCCAATTACATTCCTTAAATAATTATCAAATAGAGCAAGTCAAGATCTATAAGTATCTTGGGGTCATCCTGGATTCAAAACTGAATTTTGAAGATCACATTGATTATAAAAAGACAAAAATAAAAATTGGTTTTCTGTATCGACATAAGCACTTTTCCCCCCAATGTTCCGTTTGGAATTGATAAAAGCTACCATACTGCCTCTACTTGACTACTGTGACATCGTGTATAAATCAGCCCCAAGTACTGTACTGAAGAAGCTTGATTCCATCTATCACTCGGCCTTAACATGTACATTGAACTGCCCATATAGGACTCACCACTGTGATCTCTACATTGGGTCAAACTTAACAGCTTGTGCACCAGATCTTATTTATTCACGATGTACTTCCAAACAAAATCCGCAGACTACCTGCTGGATCTCCTCTCTGTTTCAAAGAACAAATTTGACCTCAAATTTGTTTGCCAGCTTCACATTCCCTATTGCCGTACAAAAACTGGAGGAAGGGCCTTTGCTATTGATGCCCCCAGGGTCTGGAATGCTATTGCCAATAAACTGCAACTTGAATCGCTACAAATGAGATCTTCTCTCAAAACTGCTCTAGAGGAGTTGTACACCCCTAGCTGCCACTGCTATTCATTGGCGTAGAATAAAATGTTTCGCTTCGGATGACGCTGCAAAGTATTATCTGTATTTTGATTTAGCGTGCAAATCTTAAAGGTGCATTGAAAAATTTGATACTCCGACTGATGCTTCTGTTGTTGTGGAGTAACTCATGCAGCCAGCTATGGCTCTAGGATTTGCTGTTACATGTTATTTATGTAGTTTATTGTAAAAAATTCGGTCACAGTCCCTGTGATCCCTGTTACGTTGCAATTATGGCTTTATTTTTTGGTGATTTCGAAAACGTTTTTTGGTTTGGACATGTTTGTTTTGTTGTAGTACGGAGTTAGACTGATGGCCTTAATCTAAGTTTTCTTGTAGTTGTTTTTGTTTGACTTGCATCCTACTGGGATTTTTTGCACACAGCGTTGGTGTACGGTGCTTTTTTCAGGAATATTTTGCTGTTTTTTCTTGGATTTTCTGTTTGCACAGTCACACATAGTCACTTTAAGATGTTTTTCTTGTTCGTGTTTTTGTTTTTTGTTTGTTGTGGTTGCACCCGATTCAAGAGCCGAATGGCTCACAGGGCTATACCAAAATAAATGAACTGAAAAAAAACTGAAAACATTTCTGAAAAGTCTATTTAAGTAGAACGTGTTAATATTTATTTAAAGTTGCGCATTTTCATGTGACGTCACATTTCTCAACCCCCCCCCCCTCGTCACACATCGTCACAAATGTCTGACCCCCCTCCAGGTGCGTGACGTCATTTATGGACGGCCCCTAGGGCTAATCAACACCTTGCAGTTTCACCATCGGCGGTTGCAGCGAGACTCGCCCTGCTGATGAAGATTGAGACCGCTCCAGAGTTTGTGACGCAGAAGCCAGCGGCTGTTTGTTGGGATCATGCCTCGTGGCTTATGGGACGTGAACAAGATGATTTTTTTTTATTAGGGGCCGTCCATAAATGATGTCACGTACCTGGGGGGTTGGGGGGGGGGGTCAGACATTTGTGACGATGTGTGACGAGGGGGGGGGGATTTGAGAAATGTGACGTCACATAAAAATGCGAAACTTTAAATAAATATAGAATTGTTATAACAACACTAATTGTTATAACAACACTCCTACAACAATTGTTTAAAGCGATTTGAAGCATTTTGATTTAAAGCTTTCGTGACTGCAGGGATTCGTATTATTGGTTCTTTCGGTAAAGTCACGTAGAAGGGAAACAATAAAAATATAAAACAATAAAATTCTCACGACGTTTCGGCTGCAACACAAGCAATCATCATCAAGTGTGAAAACCACAGCAAGAAAATTTGAAAAAAGCGGCGTTTTTTTAACGTTAGCACCACGGCGAGCAATTTGACGCTTTGTTCAAATGGACGAGTCCATCTATGTTCGGAAAAGAGGAGGGGGGAGACGAAAATAATGTATGCGGTTTGAAAGCCACCTTAAGCGTGATCAATCAAGACCCGAAATGGTTTATCAAATCCTTCCAATGATTGCTAAGCCAGAATCCATCTTCTCGGTTGAAACTGTCTCTGTGTTTGTATATGTGGATAGCCTCGTGAACGAATCTCTCATGGTAGCCAGATGGCTTGCAAAGAACCTCTGTCTTGGAGAAGTCAATGTCATGTGAGCCTACCGAATTATAACAGTGATCTGCCACGGCCGAGGTGTTATTATTGTTATTATTATTCTGTTTCCCTTCTACGTGACTTTACCGAAAGAACCAAGATTTGAAGCATGTTTTATTTTCAAAATGGA